GGCGCGCAGCCAGCGGCAGGATGCGCCACAGCGCCCTGCCCGCGAGGATGCTCTGCTCATGCGCAGACCAGCCCGGCCTCCGCCACCCGAGGGACAGTCGGCCTCCGCCCCGGCCCCGGGTGGGGGGTGGGACGTGTTGAACGGGCAGGTGGGCACAGCATGGCCGCGAGGCGCCATCTCCCCACAAATGCCCGGCAGGCCCCGGGCAACTATCCAGACAGAAATCTTTCTTGCAAGAGCATGGTGCAGGTTTCCAGGGTCAACTCCTCCCTGGAGCACCTGGATTATGGGCTTGCCATAGGATGCAGGCTTCCACTGAAGTCTTGTAGTAGGGCCATGGCTACGATGCCATGGTCGATGCGCCCATCATGGGAATGCTTGGAGCCCAGCAACGAGAGTGTCCTGCGTGCCTGCCGTGTCTCCTGTGGCTATGCCAAGCTGATACACTGCCTCATGGTGTCCGACCCCATCTGCTGGTCCCATGACATCTACGTTGAGCACATCACAGGCCACTGCCAGTACACCAACCCCACCAGACCGACCGCCTGAACCCCGCTCTGCACCTGATGGACTCCAAGAGGGATCTCCAATGATGGACCACTCCACTCCACCCGGAGAGGACCCCCGTGATAAGACACTATAGACGAGAAACTTTCTCAACCTACCCCCTCCACCATCATGAACCATTGCACGGGTTTGTGTCTATCTTTTTTCTTTCTCAGTGTTGCCAAGTGTGGGGCAGCAGACAGCTTTACAATGGCTGGCAGATGGGGTGAAAATCTGAACCCTCATTTCATGAGGGTCAAATGAAGATCTTCCAAAACAGCGTGTCTTCTGTAGCTCAGAACATGTCCTGAAAAGCGTTCGCAGTTACAGGGGGCAGCTGCACTTCTGTCTGCACCCTTAGGAAAGTAGGGCTGGAAGGGACATCCAGCGGTTGTCTCATGAATCCAACCTGCTGCCTGAGACAGTATCATCCCTATCCAAACCATCCTATACAAAGTATAATCTAAACTCTACATAAGACTACTCTCAGCAGTGACACTAACACCCTACTTAACCTGCCACAGGGGAACCACAGCAGTCAACCTCTAGCTTCCATGAAATGTCAATATGCTCAAGAGATCCCAGTAGAGCGCAACACCCCCTGCTACAGAGAAAGGCAACCCTCCCCCCACCGCCCCCCAACCTGAGGGGGTGGAACAACAATTAGAAAAGTCCAGAAGCATGGGAAATACCCGTAGCAAAACAGGCATAGCTAAGCCTAGATCATCCCCAACCATTTGCTGTCCAACCTTTCCTTGAACACTGCCCTTGATGCAGAGTCCACAACTTCCCTAGGGAGTCTATTCCATTGCCTCACTATACTAACACTGATGTTTTTCTGGATATCCAATCTAAACTTACCTGACTACAATGTCAAGTCAATGGTCCATGGCTCCTGCTCTGCAGCAAGAGAGAAAAGATGCTTTTCTTCTTTATGGCAGCTATTTGAACACTATCGTATCTGCTCTTGAATGTCTTTTCCACATGCTGAACATGCGTAGTTTCTTCAGCCTCTCATGACTTGCTTTCAAGCCCTTGATCACTGGTGTTGTCCACCTCTGGAACCCTTTAACTTCTCTGCAATCTTTTGAAAATGTTAAGCCCAGCGGCACTGTAACCTCCCATGTTTTGCACCTACTGCTTCTGTTGATGCAGCCTAAAACTGCATTTGCTTTTTGTGTGGCTGCATCACACTACAAACTTGTATTGACTCTGTGTGATCAACCAAGACTCTCAAGCCCTTTTCCATAATTCAGCAGGTGTCCCCCATTTTATATTTGTGCTTTTGATTATTGATATTGATTATTCCTCCTGAGGTGGAATAACCTTGCATTTGTTCACACTGAACTTCATTCTGTTAGTTCCAGGCCAACTTTCCAATCTGTCGAGATCCTTCTGAACTGTGCTCCTGTCCTCCAATGTGTTCGCAATCCTTCCGTTTCATGTCATCTGCAAACTTGCTCAAGAGACTTTTAGTGCCATTATCTCAATTGTTAATAAACTCATTGAACAGCACCAAGCCCAGGACTGACCCCTGTGGGACTCCACACAAAATGTCCATGCATATTGAACCAGTTATCTGTTTACCTTATAGTAGTTTTATCCAGCCCACATTTCTCCAATTTGTTTATGAGAAGGTCATGCAGGTCTTTCCTCGCTGAAGTCTAGATACACCATAATCACTGCATTCCCTTCATCCACCCAAGCAGTTACTTTGTCAAAGTTGATCAAGTTTGTCTGACACAATGTTTTTCATAAATCCATGCTGGCTACTTGTGATCAGCCTGTCTTCCTCTGGATGTTTGCAAATGGACTTCCTTACGATATACTCCAGTAACTCCCCAGGTATTGAAATGAGGCTAACCAGACTGTAGTTCTCTGGATCTTCTTTTGCCTTTTTTAAAGAGGGGCACTACACTGGCCCTTTTCCAGTACTCTGGTACCTGGTTTGTCTTCAGGAAGATCATTGCCAAGGGCTCTGAGATCTCCTCTGTCAGTTCCTTCAGTACCCTAGGATGAAGTTCATCCAATCCTGCTAACTTAAATTCGTTCAAACCCAACAACATTTGTTATAATTTTCCATATATAGAATCTAATTATGGGAGGATCATCTTAAATTCAGCCCACCCCTCACCGCTGCAACATGGGGAACAGTGGTAGGACAGGTCAAGCAGCAGGGAAGTCAAGTGGTCTGATCCCTGCCTCTTGCCCTCCCCCTCATCATTTGCTGACCCTCCCCCTCCCTGTTGGCTGCCCCTGTAAGTGCCTATGCATCTTGAACCTGACCACCCATGGCATCTGTAGCCCCTGCCCCCACTCACCCCCTTCCCAAAGCTCTTGGACTCTTATTTCTTTCTACTTTTGCAGTTGATTTTTTTATAGGAACCCTAAGTACCTTCAGAGGAAGATGAACTCTTGACCCTCAACCATCATTCTTTGCTGCTGTTTTCTGAGGCCTTTACCTTAGCACTGGTGTCCTGGTAGGAGTAACAGGATGCAGTTCTTCAAGGTAAGCAGCTTTGGAATTTCTCTGAAATGTTAAATTTCAATAATGCTAAAACTTGGAAAAACATTAACTGTTAGCCATCAGGTTAGGAGGGCAAAGCCACAGATGCAGGGACAATTTCTCAGTCACTTGAAGGACTGCAAGAGCAAAAGGTTGTAAAAATCCACACCAAGAGCCAGGTATAGAAACATAGGTGAACTTTTATTTGTTATGCAATCTGAACCTGGCACTGAAGTAGCATAGAGTGAAGTAAACCAACCACAATATTCATGTGCAGTGCCAAGATGGTGTTCCCAATATGTGGCCCCTGTCACCATTTTGAAACATAGGATGCTGAATATGTAAGCCACTCTGATTAAAACACCCTCTTCCCAGTCCCCGGAGCATGTGTATAGGTGTCCAAAGGTTCCCTCATGAAACTGCACCTCTAATGTCAATAGCACTATGCAGGCCTGCCTTTTTCTTTAAGAAACAACACTCAAAATAAAGAGGCTGCTTTGGAAAGGGAAAGTGTGCTCCAGCTTGCTTTAAAAAGGTTATTTCTGTCTTAACACATACAAAAGTCTTGATTCATAGCTTTCTAATTGTGTACCAAGATGAGACTAGAAAGGCCATGCTCAGCCTCCACAGCAAAGTAAAGCCATCCAATTACAGTAAAAGCTCTGTTATCCGGCATCCCCTGGGAATGGGGGATGCCAGATAACAAAATATGCTGGTTAATTGAGCGGCCCCGGCTGCAGCTTCTCTTGCCGCATCTGGGGTGTCCCTCTGCCCCTCCTGTGGCATCACCACCCCTCCCGCAGGCCCTGTGGGCCCCGTGGGACAGGGAGGTGGGCCCCGCACAACCCCACACAGCCTGTTATGTCCCTGGCCCGTGGGGGCTCATCAGTGCAGGCTGCTTTGCCCTGGACCATGGGGGCCCGGAGAAACCGGAAGTGCCACGGTGGGCACTTCCGGTTTCACTTTCCTTACAAGCTGGTATGCTCTATTAACAGAGCATACCAGCTTGTAAGGTGCCGGTTACCAGAGTGTTTACTGTACCTGTTTTTGATATCAGCAGCTATTCAATCCTTTCTTGTTATTTATGGTCCTTTATCAGAAACCCATGCCCTCTGAGAACACAAGGAAAGAGATCTGTACTTTGAGACTGAGTAGGAGATATTATTTGGAATCCAAGATGACCCACAGATGGTTTCCAAAATGTCACTTAAACATTGCATCTATTATCCGGTTTTCCAAAAGGAGATGTTACTGACATGTTCCAAGTACCCAGAGTTACTTCCTTCAGACCTTTTGCTACATTTTATACAACATTCAAGAGGTAATGACTTCAGAAGAGACATTAGAAAACATATGTTATTCAAGGACCACAAGACCTTAATCACTTATTAAAACTGAGAATGGAGGTAAGTGAAATTTTTTTCAACAGCTGTAATTGAGATGCGTAGTAAACAGTAGAAATCATTACAAACACCTTACTCCAACTGTCCCTCGGTACTTTGGAGTCCTCCAACTCCCAGTAAAAAGGGACCATCTTTTCCAGACTTGGTGGAAAGTGGCTTCTTTATCTTGCTTTTTTATAGCAAATGCATTTAGTACTCTATGCATTAGCAAGAAGTCAGACATTCTGGAAAACTGCAGCTGGGTCCATTCAGGAGAATGCTTTCTCTGGCTGTGTTTCCTTTTGCTGCAACTTCCGAATTAGTTCTAGTAAGTTCATTTGTAAAGTCAGCTCCTGTAATGGAAGAAATGACACTTCAGGAACAAGAAAAGCTAATACTTCTCTGCCAGAGGCTGCAGGAAAGATGTAGAGGATACTGTAGAGGGTATTCCACAAAGTAGATAGAGTCACACTATTGACATCAACCCTCCACCCCATCCCCCAAATAAAATGCCCCTTCAAACACTAGACGTATGCAGAACTAAAGCTTGAGGTTAATACCTTTTTACCTAATGTAGGATGTAAACACTGCAAAATATCTGAAATGAGAGGATGATCTGCAGAAAGGTACAAGAGCTATAAGATATGATACCCTTTATGGAGGTTCTCTCCTTTTTCATAGCTTGTCATAAAGCACACAGGCCCGTCAGTTCTGCAACCTTTTCACTAGGGCACTGGAGCAATAGCTTTCCACTAAAAATGTAAAAAGCATATTAAAGTGCTCCTCCCTGGGCGTGTCTACATGTGCACATGCTTACTTCGCAGTAAACCTCCCTAATCTCAAGTAAACGTGTTACCTGCAAATACAAATAGCAAATTTACTCTGAAGTAGTAATAGTGCCATAGCACTCGTGTACACGCCTGATTGAAAAATCTGCTCCCAGTCAGCCATCTACCAAGAGATGGGAAATTGCTCCCTGCCCCTGGGAGCTGCCGGCTGCCCAGGCAGGCTCCACCACAGAAGCCTGGGCAGGGACTATGTTCCCCTGCCATGGAAACAGGGAGCTCTAAGCCCCCTGCTCCCAAGCCATGATTGGGGAGTGGGGGCTGGGAGATGCTTATTTTCCCAGCACCAGCTCCATGATCAAGGGGCAGGTGCTGGGAGATAAGGGTGTCTAAGCCTGAGCTCTGTGGTCAGTGGGCTCAGGCTGAGAGATAAGTGGCCCCATGGCGCAGAGCCAGTGCTGGGAGCTCCCTGCTGGTGGGGGCT